TTGTGTGGGTAGGTCTTATCTTCGGGGGAACGTGGCTGCATTGGTGGCTTTGAGGAAGGCCACGCGTGGTGCACATCTTGTTAAAATGCCGATACATTAGCTGCCTTAAAAAAGGGGTATGATGTATATGCCACTCTTTTGATCATTAAATGAATTTTTAAATTAGGCAATGACATTTTAAATCTTTAATGGCTTTTCCAAACTTCTAAGGCAAGGAACAGCTTGTCACGTAAGTGTGGATTATTTTGTCCTTAAGGGATTAAGCAGAGCGCTATCTTTGAAGAATTAAGAAGCTCAGCCTGTTCGAGTCAAGGTCTCGTTGAGTCTGAGGGCTTAGAAGATGTTTAGTTCAGCACATTGGTGTACTTGCTCAGGACTGATGTCACGCAAAAGGCTTTAATCCACTACCACGAGCCTTACCGGAGAACACCCCGAACATAAACATCCCTGAGCTTTCAGATTTTTTCGTTATCCTACTTCATCACAGGTAGCATTTAATCAATGAAGAATAAATATTATTTTTTTTTTCCAGACTGTTGTGACTTCACAAGCGTGTAGAAAAAAAAAAAATTAGACATTTTTTTCAAGTATGTTTTTAAGGATGAAGTTTAGGGGTCAAAATGATTTCATCAGTATGAAAACAAAATTATTGAGGAAGTGAAGTGGAAATTTAATTTGATCTATAAATCCTTGCTTTATAGGTGGTGCCACCGAAATCTATCTCTGTCATAAATAAAGTTACAATCATCCGTCCTTGTGACTTGTAGTTTGCTCTGCTGTGGCTAATACTGTCTGATTAAAAATACGCATTATGGCAGGGTAGAAACGGCTTTGGTTGCAAAATGACAGGGAGCAAAGCAAAGGCATAAATTTACTACATCCTGTGTTATTTTTATGACCCTAATAAGTCATCTTTAACTTTGACCTGAAGTTGTTACTTGGAGAATAAATCTTCCTAGTTTTTCTAACTTGTGCTTTCTGATATGGGGACCTTTTCATTTACACAATGAAGAAATACTGACCAACAATCTATGCGCTTTGAAAGATGTATTGTGTAATTGTAGTAAAACAACAGATTTGCCTGTGATCTCGTTTCATTTCTGCTTTCAAGTTGTCCAGTATTCATTATGCTGTGAAGTCACAACAGCAAAACCGTAACTCCTGCAAATTCAGATTTATTGTAGACAGCTGTCATCCTTAATGATCATATTTGAAAGATGACTCTGTGATGTAGCCCTCAAAAATCACAGCTATAAAATATGGTAAAATGACATACTGACTTCGTAAAAATATAAACTCCAGTAGATACCATACATATTAGGATTTAATATTTTATGTGAATAAAAGGCATATTAGTAAAATATGAGTGTCTCACGATAGGTATGTTTTCTCTTCTCTTTCTCATTCCTCACGGTGGGTTTGGTACCTTTGCTCACAGTCTCCTGGCCACCCAATACTCTACATTCTACTTGGTAGAATATTGTTTACTTCTGTTCATTTTTCTTAATTCCCACTAAATCAGTTCAGTCTTTTATTGTGTTGAGTCAGTAGCCATTTTGACAGTTTGCTGAAACAAATCAATTTAATTCTTTGTATGTCAGTTATAGGTATTTTAACTCATATATATATATACACACACACATATATATATACAAATATTCTACATTAATAGAAGATTATTACCTGTAGGTAAGGTACATTTTAGATAAATGATGTCTTAAACTAGGTCACTGAAAGTTGAAATTTGGTTTACCTATATGCTATTTTGTCCTGCTTTTTTTTTTTTTTTTTTTTTTTTTAATATCCGTGGGGAAATTCAGCTATTTGGTGAAGGTTATTATTAACCACAGAGTAGACTGGCAAATTGTGATTTTAATGAGCAGAAATATTGTGTCTTTCTTTACATTAGGCAATGTCCTGGCTGGTGTTCCAGCTCTATCTAAAATCTATGGCAGAAGGGAATAATAAAAACTGTGTAGCTGAAAATGTATTAATTTTGCTTTTTCTTTTCTTTTTATTTCAGCATATTATGGGGCTACAAAGGTTGCGTGTATTGCCCTTGCCCCCTCTCCCCCCTCACATCTGAGCTTCAAGCGTGTCCATCCCCCAGACGGTGCACATCTCACTCGTTATGTTTGTATATACCCATCCCCTCCTCCCCCCTCCCACCAATCATTTTGAGATTGATTTAGAACATTTCCTATGTTCTGAATTCCTACTCATTTTTCATTATTTATTTATTTAATTTTTGTTTGTTTTTTTTTTGAGCATGGTCTCTCTCTGTCACCCAGACTGGGGTGCAGTAGCGTGATCACAGCTGACTGCAACCACAAATTCCCGGACTCAAGGGATCATCCCGGCTTAGCCTCCTGAAGATTTAGGACTACAGGCATGCACCACTCCTGGCTAATTAAATCTTTGTTTTTTAATTATTATTTTTGGTGGAGATGGGGCTACTGACTATCTTTTCCCAAGCGTAAGCACCTGTTACACCTCCTGACGCCCAGGTGTCGTGAAGATCTGCAACCGCAGGGGACTTGGCTTGATACGAGCAAAGCTTGTGTTTCCGCTGTGAGGTGGAATCTGCCCACAGGGCAGGAAAGCTGCAGGGATTATGTGGTGGAGGAAGAGCAAATTTCAGGTAGTTAAGGGCAACGAGATAGGTGCTTTCTTGGCATACGCGTTTTGTTTCTAAACAATGTCTTGGTAAGAAAAGAGCCGGGAAGCCGTGATATCTTTTCCCGCACATTCATTTCGTTTGGCGTCGTGGCGGTGCATTTTTTTTCATTCTAGAAAAACTCGAGGCCCGTGTTCTCCTTACTGCTTTAGTTCGTGTACCAAATTCCCCCGGGGAGCTCTTTCCCATTTTAGCTCAGCTAACTCTTAAAATAAATAGAATGGAGCAACACTAAAACATTTGCCGGTCGTTACGAAGTTTTAGACTTTAATGTTTGGCCGTGGTGCTTCCATCACCTTTGTTCTTACTTCAGGTTGGAGCGCATCCGTGTTCTCAGCAAAACCCCCAACAAATAAAGGATTGGGACACGCCTCGTAGAGCTGTATGTATTCTCTGTGGCCCTGTGTATTCATGCAAGGAGCTTTCTCGTGTATCAACTTGACATTCCTGGTGGCGATTGAGATGACATGAGCTATACGAGACAGACTGAAATAAAATGAGACCAAGAACTAAAGACTCCTATGAATCCCTACGGTGCTGTTACAACCTATGTCAGAAATCTCACCCTGTATTCCAGGTCCTGATCAAATGCCACCAACTAACCCTAACCCTAACCCCAAACTAGACTGATTTGGCATTTCTCTGCCCTCCAGCTGGTCTTCCTCCCCTCCCTGCCACTGTGACTTCCTAGCTCATCTTTTCTTCTGCATCATTCATTGGACACTTATTTTCCATTCTATCCTGTGGGTCAGTTTTTTGTGCATTGACGAAAAAAAAAACCTTTTTTTTTTTACATAAAAATATATTGTAACCTCCGTAAGAACTAGACTCTTTTTATTTTTTAAACGAGTCCTGAACGGCACTCTGCTTAGCACAAATAGAAATCCAAAAAATATTTGTTGTGTGCTGCTGATGTTTCTCCCTGTCTTGTTCATTGATCAAAACTTGACTCGACGCCTACTCAGGTCCCCCAACTGGGCCAAGCACCGGGCTCAGGATGGGAACAAGGCAGGTGTGGTCTCTGCCTTTGATTAGAAATAATTGCTCCGAGTTTTCCTTCTTCCCTCTTACGGCTACCGTGTTTCCCCGAAAATAAGACCTACCCATAAAATAAGCCCTAGCAGGATTTCTGAGCATGTGCGCCATAGAAGCCCTACCCTGCAAATAAGCCCTAGTGATGGGGGTGGCTACGCAGCGCATCTGCACAACTCATGCATGTCGTCGGGGAGCGGGAAAGAACACGAGCAGCCCTTCTCATCTGCCCCGTGAGAGCTCTAGTGCTCCACAGGAGAGATCAGGGCCAATAGTGCTAAAGGAAATAGAGTAGTAAGAAATTTAGTATGGAATTCGGGGTTTGGAGAGTGAGGATGATGTTCCAGAAGAAGATGACTTCACTCTATTTGAATCAATGGAGATGGTTGTATCATCCTTAAAAAAAAAAAAATAACACATCCCCTGAAAATAAGCCCTAGGGTGTCTTCTTGAGGAAAAATAAATATAAGACCCTGTCTTATTTTCGGAGAAACACGGTATACATTGGGAAGCAGAGTGGGAGAACGTAAGAGGGTAAAGGAGAGAAAAATAGGGTCGTTCAAAGAGACAAGTTGAGTCTGTAGGAAGGTGCGCACACGCATTGACCTCTTGCTCCACCTTCACCATGACGTTATAGAAGTGAAAACCTCAACTCTGGCAGGAATCCCTTGCCTGTGTACACAGTCCCTCTCTGCTTCCTCTCTGGGTGGCCTTGGAATTGTTATTTAATCTCACCGAGGCTCAATTTCTGCTAGCAGTAGAGTCTGCTGCCTCAGAGGAGATGGTATTTGGTGCCTAACCCTTAGCTTTCTCTGTCCTTAATGAGCGTTGGTTGTTATTATTATTGTTGTTGTTGGCTGCTGTTATGGTATCTTTAGAGGTATGACTCTGAGGAGGGCCATGTCCAAGACTGCTGGAAGTGGGGCAGAGACAACCCAGGCTGGAAAATTTGCTCTAAGGGTCCCTTCCCAGATGGCAGACTGGCTCCAGGTTCACCGAGCAACCCTGACAGCTGTGTTGGCCGCTTCCACATCTGGACGTAAACCCGGCCGTTGTGGCTTGCTGGGCAGCCTTCCGAGTGATTGTAGTCAGCCTTGCTAGAGGGGTGGATATTTTGCAGAAGGAGAAATTTCTTTTCCTCTTCAGACCTCCTGGCTGTGAGTTCACTCAGCTCTGAAGGGGGAGAATCATATGCAGGATTCTGTGGGTGAAGCTTTCCTGGTTGGAACTTTGTTTTTCTCAAATATACTAACAAAATGGATTTTCCCCCCCTACCCTCTCTTGTCAATAGGGTGCTGAGAAAATTTTGTCAATGAATGAATCAGGAGAGCTGCAAGACCTCTTAACCAAAATTGAGGTAATTGTGCTTTTGGCAACTTATTTATTGTAATCAAAATGTTAAACCACATTCTGATTGTATAATAGTTGGGTTTGGGCCAGGCGAGGTGGCTCACGCCTCGTATATCGCTAGCTCTCGGGACGGCCGAGGTGCGGCGATTGCTCGAGGTCGGAGTTGAAACCAGCCTGAGCAAGAGTGAGACCCGTCTCTTCCAACAATAGAAAGAAATTAATTGGACAACTAAAAATATATAGAAAAATTAGCCGGGCACGGTGGTGCACACCTGTAGTCCCAGCTACTTGGGAGGCTGAGGCAGCAGGATTGCTTGAGCCCAGGAGTTTGAGGTTGCTGTGAGCTAGGTTGATGCCACGGCACTCACTCTAGCCTGGGCAATAAAGCAAGACTCTGTCTCAAAAAAAAAAAAAAAAGAGTGTTATGTGATACGGTTAATCTATTTATTTCTTGTACCAATATCATACGTTTTTGTTTCGATCGTTTGATAGCCTTTTTTAGGATCTTATAGGGTGAATGTCCCTCACTGCTCTTTTTTTTTTTTTCAAAACAAAATAATAATTGACTTAGCTATTGAGTACTTTGATTCCATTGAGTCTATAATTCCTCAATTCTGCAATTTAATTAACCCCACCAGGATAGATGAAGTAATCTCTCTTTCTCCTTGGGCTCAAAGAATTTTGGAAAGGGGAGTTTTTCCCTTAAGCTTGTCTCCATTTCTACAGATGATGCAAATAAGGCCCAAGCATTTCAGACTATTCTTAAGGTTCAAAGGAATGGTGTGGTGTTGGCTTCCTATTGCTACAGGAACTATGAAGTGCTATGATTCTGCTGGGCTGCTTTGCCCATGTAATAAAACTGATAGAGAATTTGTAGCCACCCAGGAAAGCCAGAGAGAGGGCTGGGATGTAAGGGAAGCCAGTTCGGGTAATGGGACCTGGTCCAAAAAGACACCACCTGGAGAGCCAAGCTAAGAGGATTAATGGATACAGGACCCAAGTCCAAACACTACTCCACGGCTTGGTGTTCTCGCCAATGGACGCCGAGTTCATTACATCCACGAAGCAGGAAACCATTGAGCCCTTCCTATGTGGGAAGTGGTTTTTCTTGGTATTTTGTATTAAGCACTGAAAGCTCACAGCGACTGTATTAGGTGGGTTCTGTTATTGTATGTATATTGTATGTATGTTATTGTATGTATTGTATTGTATGTATGTGTATTGTATGTATGTAATTGTATATTAGGTGGGTTCTGTTATTGTATGTAATATGTATTACCCCCATATCACTGACAGGGAATGGAGGCATGGAGAGATTAAATCACTTGCTTGAGACCTTACAATACAGTCAACGTCTGATCATGGTTCTAACCAGTGTGAGCCCAAGCCCATAATCTGAATCATGAACATACGCTGCCGTGGCTCTCAAATTAAGCGGCGTGCAGGTGTCTGGGAGATCTGATTGCTGTGACAGGACACAAGGTCTGGGTGAGAGTTTGCTAAGCTGCAGCAGAGTATTAAGTCCGGGGAGCAGACTGGGTTTTGAGAGCCTCAGGGCTCTGGAGGCTCGTGGTGCCTCCTGGAATCTCGGTCGCTGGTGAGAACTTTGGAGAGAAGCTAACAGGTCCTCCGGAGCTCCAGTTTGCTTTTGCTTGGGTTGCTTCAGGGCAGTCTGTGACAGCCCACGGGCCCGGGGTTTCCAGCAGTTATCCCAGGTGATGGTGAGGAAGGAGGCTTTGTAGCGGTGGCCGGGACCCTCAGAAACGGAGTCAGCAGGTGACTTCAAGTTTGCCGGCCCGCCAGAGAATATTAGCATATATCATGCCCAGGTGACATTTGTTCTGGGAAGCTGAGTGGACCTGACTTGTTGATGAAGATTGTCGTTGGGCCTCAAACGTGCAAAGCTGGCTGAAGACTGCAGAAACCAGTGATGCGTGTGACGGTCGATATGGAGACCTGGGCTCGGTGGGTCTGGCTGGGCCTGCAGAGACTCTGCCCCTGAAATGAGGATCTGCAGGTCATACCCCCAGTAAAATATGGGCTCCATGCGGCGGACATGGATTCTCATCTTTTTTTTTTTTTTTTCTATCTTTTACATCAAGTGCCTGGAACAGGGATTGGCATATAATAGGCACCATACGTATTTGTTGAGGGAATAAATAGATGAATGACTCACTGATCCAAAGGTTTTTTTTTTTTTTTCTTTTTGGAGGAGGCAAAGCAGTGAAGAGATAAAAAGAAAGAAAAATCATTATTTTATGTTGGAGAATGCACGGATAAAAGGAGGAAGGAAAACACCGCTTTTTTTTTTGGTTAAAATTTATATATTTATTCCTGTAAATAAACAAGCTAGAGATTAGAGGCAAAAAGGTGCATGAAGAGTTCCCCTCATCACGCCCCCCCCCAAAATCCCAATAAGATGGGGAGCTGATCTTGCTGGTGTCCACAGAGAGAGCGGGGAGCTCTGAGACAGGCTAGCATCTCACTGGTTCTGGCAGACGCTGGATTAAAGATCTCAGATGGTAAAGAAGCTCTAGGTAAGCTTTCACCTTGCTGTTTTTTGTATTTTTGTTTTGAGGGTACGAGCAAACAGTTTGGTTGTCATTTCTGTGGAGGTTGCCAACACAGCGTCCTTTTTTTTTTCTTGTAATGCTTATAACAATGACCCATTCTGATTCTCCCTGAGGGCTGATGGCTGGGCATTTGTTGTTCATGAAGAACGAGAGGAAAGGTTTCCAGCTGCACACTGAGCACGTCGACAATGGCACAGGCTGTCCCTGCCAGGCACAGGAGCTGTTGGGGACCGTCCTGATCCTTGGTGACACACGGCTCCGTGTGACCGCCCCTCCCCGGGCGGGTAGACGTGGCACGTTCAGAGGCTACAACAGCAGAGCGCCACCTGCTCACCTGGGCCATCAGGGCATGTCACCTGCCTCTCTCTGAATTCTAAACACCTTATTTATTTAATGAGTGGGTTTGCCGCAGTCCGTCCCTTACTGGTTCAAGAATCAATCTCTTACATTCAGGCTCATGCACTTAGGATTATGAGCTACAAATTTTCTCTGTGTCTGCATTTTGTTCAGTGGCTTCTTTCCCAACCTGGAGAATCGAGGATGCCAGTAACACTGGTGAAGAGGGAAGATTCTATTTGTTTATTTTTAACAGGTTGGTCAGGCAGACAGGTGTCTTAGTAGACACCTCACAAGCATTTGCTGGATTAAATAGTTGAATCTAGTTTAAAACAAGATACACAGACAGAGGTGGATTGCCCAGAGCTGGTTATATGCCGAGTGTATACTCTTTGACAGTTTGTTTCATGGGCAAGACTGCTTCGTAGGCAACCGGGACGATGAGGTGTGTGTGGTCACAGAGACTCAGATGAGTGGCTTCCTCTTTGGCAGTACATTTACGGGACTTTCAAGCTCTACTGGCATAGGATTAGGTAATCTGAGGTTAAAAATAGTAAGATCTTCCTTTCCTGGTATTAAAGAAGACATGAAGACTCTTGGTCTTAACATCTTGTTCGTCTACGTTAAATCACTGGGAGATAAACTCTTTATATTCCTGAAACTTGATTTTGTGCTACAAAGGAAGTCTGTCTGACAATCATCCGTGATCTCTATCCTTAATATTCTTGTCCGTTTGGTCCTTCATTGGAGACATGGGACTTCGTATGTGCTTCAGTTGAGAGGACTGCAGTATGGAGTATGGACCTACCGAAGACCTAAGGAGAATGAGGAAGTGTTTGGTCCGATACTATATCCCCAGCGATTCGCACAGCGAAGACTAGTGGTCACTCAAAATATATTCACGTTTGTGGGATGAATGAAGAAGTGAAAAGGTCTCGCCTACGGAGTATCCAGCTTTTGGAGATTTCTCGCCAAGAATATCTGAGCAGGAAGAGGTAAAGGGGAGGATGATTTCACACTCCTTTTTCTTTCTTTCTTTTTTTTTTTAATTTCACCCCAAAGCGACTGGCCTCACCCCAAGACTACTATTCAGAGGAGGTACATTCTGTTAAATCAGTGCTCTAACGACCTGCTATCTTTGGCCAGGTCTGCGTGGTTTCTTAATTGCTTGAAGGTCGAAGTTTCAACCTCTTCATTGAAAGTGGAAGACTGTTTTGTTACTAATAGTAATGGCATTGTCAACTCCAGTTATTCCCTCTCCCTCCATCTGGGAACATGATTCAAGTTCTTTGGAGGAATTTCCTAGCTCTTTCTCTATCTCCACCTGAGGATAAAACTGTCTACTTAATTAAGTGCTGGACTTCTTAGGGCTCCAAGGCATCCAACATACGCCAGCTCTTTCCTTTCCTGGGGAACCCCTGAGTTGGAACCAGAGTTCTAGTATAACAGAAGTGCTCTTCGAAAGAGGTGGTTAGCAATGAGATATCACTTATCTCCAGTGAGAATGGCCTTTATCAAAAAGTCCCCAAACAATAAATGCTGGCGTGGATGTGGAGAGAGAGGAACACTCCTACACTGCTGATGGGACTGCAAACTAGTCCGACCTCTGTGGAAAGCAATATGGAGATACCTCAAAGTGATACAAGTGGATCTACCATTTGATCCAGCAATCCCACTACGGGGCATCTACCCAAAAGATCCAGTGACACTCTACAAATGGGACACCTGCACTGGAATGTTTATAGCAGCACAAAAGAGAGAAGATAGATCTTTCCTTTCCTGGTATGTAAAGAAGACATGAAAGACTCTTGGGTCTTAACATCTTGTTCGTCTACATTAAATCACTGGGAGATAAAGTCTTTTATATTCCTGAAGACTTGATTTTGTGCTACAAAGGAAGTCTGTCTGGACAATCATCCGTGATCTCTATCCTTAATATTCTTGTTCGTTTGGTCCTTCATTGGAGACATGGGAGCTTTTATGTGCTTCAGTTGAGAGGACTGCAGTATGGAGTATGGACCTACCGAAGACTAAGGAGAATGAGGAAGTGTTGGTCCGACATATATCCCCCCCAGCGATTATCCGCACAGATGAGACT